ATTCTTAACGTCAATGATATAATTCTGTCACTCAATTCTATACGTACTGTATACCTGTACCATTCTTAACGTCAATACTAAAATGCTGTTACTCAATTCTATACGTACTGTATACCTGTACCATTCTTAACGTCAATGATATAATTCTATCACTCAATTCTATACTTACTGTATACCTGTACCATTCTTAGCGTCAATGATATAATTCTATCACTCAATTCTATACGTACTGTATACCTGTACCATTCTTAGCGTCAATGATATAATTCTATCACTCAATTCTATACGTACTGTATACCTGTACCATTCTTAACGTCAATGATATAATTCTATCACTCAATTCTATACGTACTGTATACCTGTACCATTCTTAACATCAATCGTACCCTTCTATAGCATTAATTTTAAGCTATTACAGTTCGTGAACATTTCTAAACTTTCCTTGTCTCTACGAATACATTATTGATCGTTTCAACTCAGTATCTAAGAAACGTCACACCTGTCTATTTCCCACTAATCTTAGACTACCTTTAGTTTTTCTTGTGTTTGTTGAGCTTTAATAGCCCTGTCTGAGTTTTATTATGTAGAGTGGAGCTGGTGTAACTGTCCTAGGTTCATGATGTAGAGTGGAGCTGGTGTAACTGTCCTAGGTTCATGATGTAGAGTGGAGCTGGTGTAACTGTCCTAGGTTCATGATGTAGAGTGGAGCTGGTGTAACTGTCCTAGGTTCATGATGTAGAGTGGAGCTGGTGTATCATATGTATCTAAAATATTGTTACGTGATTTTATGCTACGCTCAAATAATACATAGGTGATTTTTTTTAGTTCTGTTCTAGTAAGATAAAGGTAGGTTAGTTTGTGAGTTTACTTGTAATTATATATGAATCACTGTACATAAGTACAAATATATATATAAATAGAAAGTTTGAGTTCTTTGCTTTATAAAATAAATTATCTCTCTGTCTTTCTCCGCGTTATTTCTTTGTTTAAACTTTTTTATTTCTCTAGTTTTACTTTCACGGCTTCTCCTCCCTATGGATTACTTAACTGTTATAGCGACTGTACCTCCCTTCTGCGACTCCCGCTAACGACAAATATATATATATACCACATATACAGATTTCATAACTATCTGTTACTTGTCATGTAGGATCTATATCTTAAAAAAGGAAAGTTATATTTCAACAGGATATGATCCGTTCAAAACCCACGAATCAATATTTCAACAGGATATGATCCGTTCAAAACCCATGAATCAATATTTCAACAGGATATGATCCGTTCAAAACCCATGAATCAATATTTCAACAGGATATGATCCGTTCAAAACCCACGAATCAATATTTCAACAGGATATGATCCGTTCAAAACCCATGAATCAATATTTCAACAGGAT